TAAAAAAAAAAAAAAGTGGAAGGAGATAAATAATAATAATAATAATAATAATAATGACAATTTAACGTTTTTTTATTTCATAAAATTAAAACTTAAGTCAAGAATTAATTATTTTCACTTTAAAAAAAAAAAAAAGGGTCTTGAAGAGAGTTTTAAAACAATGAAACGGTTTTAAAAAAGCTCTTAAAAGTGTTTAAAAAAAAAAAAATGGCGTCCTTCTGCCTTTTTCTAACGATGGAATGAAAAACACACGCACGCACGCACGCAAAAAGGCTGGGAAGGGAGGTTAAAAAAAAAAAATTATTATTATTATTTTCTCTTTCTCTTCCATTAATATTATTATTATTACCAAAATGAAAAATGGTAGTCGAAAAGTATTTTAAAAAATGGGGGGGGGGGGAAACTAATGAAACTATTTTAATTAAGTAATTATTATTATTATTATTTACTTTTAAATTTAATTAAATATAAACAAAACTTTTTTTTACAAAACAAAAACAAACACTCGAGGAATTTTTTCTTCTGCTTTTTTTTTTTTATTTATTTATGTAAATTTTTTTTTACATGCCCCGCCCATTCCCCCTTCCTCCCTCCCTTCTCTCTCACGCTCTCTCCCTTCCACCTATCACCACCCACCCACCCACCCACTCATAACCCATCTCGTAATGTTTATTTGCATTTTTAATTTTTTCGACAAACGCGTTTGTAAAATTTTTCCGGCGGGAAAATTTGTCGACAAAAAAACAAAAATATTTTTTTACTCTATGGATATACGAATATAACGAACGAATATCTCTCAATCATTTCATTTATTAATTTTTTTTAAATTAAAATTTTGCTAACTATTATTTTTATTAGTATTGTTTTTTAATTTAATAATCCGCCATTTTAAATAAACGAAAAGTGTTTATTAAAAAAATCATAAATTTTAATTATAATTTAATAAAAAAAAATGGAGGCGAAGCGAGGAGAGTTGGGATAGGAAGAAGGAGGAAAAAATATAAGGATAGACGAATTATTTCCGGTTATTAATTTATCGAAAAATATAATGATAATAATAATAATAATAATAAAAACTTTTAATTTAACAATAAATATAATAAACTTTTATATTCGATATCGATTATTCACGTGGCATAAGTAGAAGGGGTGGTGGTGGTGGTATTCTTACATTGGGAAATCCCGAGAAAAATAATAAATAACGTATATAATTTTTAATTTATTTTTTCCAGCGGGAAAGTTTTCCCCTCCCTCTTCTCCCTCTCCCCTTCTTTTCATTAACGTTCGAACGATAATAAAAAATTTTTTTTTATATAATGCACTTAAAGTGCAAATTATAGTTTTATTACTATTATGAAAGGAGTGGAAACGTTCACGCGGTTAAATGCGGTCACAAAAAGCTTCCGACATTTAATTAAAACCGCAAGAGAGGTGGAAAGGGAAGAAAAGAAAATGAGGGGGAGAGAGGGGAATAGAAAAAAGAGGGGAGAGAGAAATAAAGTGGGAAGGGGAAAAGATAAGAGTTAAAGAAGAGGAGAGAAAAGGGGTGGGAGTAAAATATAAGAAAAAAGCGCGTTCAGAAACATTCGCACAAACTTAACGGCGTTTTATCGCGTTTCAAATTAACTTTTGTTTTTTTATTTCAGGTATGCATCGTGGAAAAAAGAGGAACCGGACAATTGTACGCCATGAAATACATGAATAAAACTCAATGCATGGAAAGAGACGCTTTGAACAACGTATTAAAAGAAGTTGAAATATTAACGACATTGGAACATCCTTTCCTCGTGAATCTTTGGTTTTCTTTTCAAGGTACGTTCAGGTTTCTCTCATTTTTTATTGCGAGTTAATATTACTTTATTTTTTAGTATACAATTACCACAAAATAAACTTTTTTTCCAAGTTTAACGAAGTGTCGTCAGAACTTATTTTGAATTTATAACTTTTTCGCAAAAAATTCGTTTTGTTGTAATGACGTAACACAACAATTTTTTCAATTATTTCCTTCGTCGCATTTTACTTTATTACGTCATTTCCGTTTTTTGTTTCACGGTTTGAAATTAATATTTTATTATTTAATTTTTAAAAAAAAAAAAAATGATAATAATAATCGAATTTTTTTTTGGCGGCGGGGGAGGGGAGGGGAAGGAAGGGGAGGGATTCGTATTAAAAAAAAAAATGGCGTTCTCCACAAATTGTGTAAATCTCTCTTCATTCATTCATTTTTTTTTTTTTATTGCATTTTGTTCGCTCTTCTTTTTCTTTTTCTTTTCGTTTTTTTTTGTTCCCTTGGGATTTTCCTTTCTTTTTCAGTCACTGAATGCGATTCAATTTCCTTTACACAAAATTTTATTCATATTTAGTTTTATCCCCCCCGCCCCCTCTCACAAGTGGCTTCTTCCATTGTGTTCTATTGGTATTTCTTCTTATGACACGTCCATAAAATTTTTTTTTTTTCTTTTTCGTTTTAGGCTATATAAGATTTATTTATCATTATTCGGGTTATCACAATTTCAATATTCGGAAAAAAAACGTGGCAAAACAAAAAAACGCGGGTTCTCAAGTGTTTTTGATTTAATTCTTTTTCCCTCCCGTCGGACGTGATTTTTAACATAAGTTGACATAATTTTTTCAATCATATTTAATTTTATCCCACGTCAATTTATATTTTTTTTTTTTATTATCCATAATTCTCAACGACTTTTACCAACGGTCAAAAAAATTTTCTTTTTTAAATGTCAAATTACACGTTCGTTTTTCTAGAACAATCTCGTTAGAGTGAAACGTGATATATCCAAATCGTGAGAGAGAGAGAGAGAGAGAGAGAAAAACTTGTTAAATAATCATTATAAAATATCACAAAATTTTACCAATAACGTTTCGTATAAAAGTTTTTAAAGATGGCGTCGCCCGGATATCCGGTTTTTTTTTTTTTTTAAAAGGTTTTAATAATTTTGTTTCATTTCATCAGACGAAGAAGATCTTTTTATGGTTTCCGATCTTTTCACCGGTGGTGATTTAAGATATCACATACAACAAAAAGTACATTTCAAAGAAGACTGCGTGAGATTATACATATTGGAACTCGGTTTGGCATTGGAATATTTACAAAGGAAATCCATAGTTCATAGAGATGTTAAACCCGATAATATTCTCCTCGACGAAAACGGTCACGCACATTTAACGGATTTTAACATTGCGACAATATTAAAAGAAGGACAATTGGCGACGTCAATGAGCGGTACGAAACCTTACATGGGTAAGTAAATGAAGAATAAATAAATAAAAACCCCTTTCAAAACGAGTATAATAATAAAATTTTCTTTTTCCCGCCATTTTACGTCACCCCGCGTGACGTCACTCCAGCACCGGAAATATTTGCATGCGTAACGGATGAATGCGTCGGTTATAATTTTGCCGTCGACTGGTGGTCACTCGGAGTTTGCGCATACGAAATGCTTTCTCTATCGAGACCCTACGACATACACTCGACGACATCTATCGGTGATGTACGGAACTTATTTAACATTCCATTGGTTTATTCGAAAACATGGACGCACGAAACGGTCGACCTTCTTTCAAAGGTTTGTAACGGACAAAATTTCTTTTTTTCTTTTTTCTTTATTTTTTAATTATTAAAACGTTTGTTTAGCTTTTGTGCGTCGAACCCGGTGGTAGAATCAGTTCATTATCGGAACTTAAAACCGTGCCTGCCATATCAAAATACGATATTAATTTAGTTATGGATAAAAAAATAAAACCGTCATTTACACCACCCGTAAGTATTTAAAAAACAAAATGGCGTCGGCGTCGTCGTCGCGTTTCGTTAAGATGACTAAAAATTATTTTTGTTTTTACAGAAAGATCATTTAAATTGTGATCCGACATTAGAATTAGAAGAAATGATCGTCGAAACAAAACCGTTACATAAAAAGAAAAAAAGATTAGCCAAACAAAGACTTTTACAACCGGCATTGAGTCTCGAATTGGTAAATTAATATTAACATTATCATTATTATTATTAATAAACGATTTGATTCGATTCGATTTTTTTTCAGAGTAATAACGAAATATCGACAATCGATACGCCAGGTACAATAATTGAATTTCGAGTGTACAATCGTGAAAGGGAATTAAGAAAGAGAGAACGTGAAAAAAAAGAAAAACAATGGGAAAAAGAATTATTGGAAAGTATGAAATTATGCGATGTGACGTCAACTATGACGGAAATGACGTCAGCGGGAAAGCGCGGGCAATCGAACACGACGTCATCGCAAAGTTTTTGCGGGTCTCATAATATTAAAAATAAAAATTTAAAATATAAAAATTTAAAAAAATCGTCGAGTTATTCTTATTGCATATGCGACGACGCGGAAAAATCTTCTTACATCGCACACCATGATGGCGATGATGATGATGATGATGGTGGTGGTGGTGGTGGTGGTGGCGGTGGTGGCGGTGGTGGTGATAATAATAAAAAAAAAATTGATAAACAAAATTCATATGAGTGTACTTGCGAAACCGTGAGTGGTGACATTAACGAATGTGACGACGTGGTATTAGATAATAAAACCGCCAAAATATCAAACTGAAAATATTTAAATAAATAAATAAATAAAGTGTCCTTGAGTGTGTAAAAAAATAATTTATTTATTTAAACATAGAGTAAAAAAAAAAAACGCTTTTTGTGTGTGTACATACGTGTGTGTATCGATTAATCGATTAATCGATCAATCGATTATTTTCGATTTTTTTTTTTTTTTCAAAAATATTAATGATGATGATAATTGTACAATCATCGAAAAAGCGTAAATTTATATTTAAAAAAAAAAAAATTTTATTTTATATAATCGATACATAAAAAAAAAAAATAAATAATAATAATAATAATAATAATAATAATAATAATAATAATGATAATGATAAAAATTTAATAATAAAATTCTCTTTCGACCCATCCTCCGGGTCGTTTTCTTAATATATATCTTCTCACTTCGTCAAATAAAATAATAATAAATGCAAATGGTAAACCCGGAAGCCAGTGTTCCGCCCTTATGGGGGGCATCATGAAATATTCGTCCATTCCGGGGGTGTACAAAATGAAACAACCCATGAGCACGGCAAAAATCAAACCAGCGTTTAATACCCAATTGTGCATTCCCTGTGCGAGCGTGGGTGCGCGTCCGCGTCAACGTAAAGTGACGTCATAACGATAAATAATAATAATAATAATTAACGCGGGAGGGGGGGAGAAGAAGGAGAGGGGAAGGGAAAGGGAAAGGGGAAAATAATAACGTACGTACCTACCTGTTGAAATATTGAATTTTTCCTCGTTTTACATATTATTGCATCCGCTATTTGAGTCACTATAATGGCGGCAAAAAAACACGATTGACAATAACGTTCGAGACTCTATTCGAGAGTATCGAATATAAACAAAAAAAAAAAAAAAAAAAAAAAAAAAGGGTAATGATAATAATGATAATAAATTGATATTTTAATATTATTATTATTATTTATTTATTTATTTATTTACTTTTCTAGGTCCGAAAGCCCATTGTTGACCGTAGGAATCCGTTACAATTTCTCCTTTGTTTTCCCACGTTTCTCTTATACCTATAAGAGTCAAAGGCAAGAATCCATTTTGTGCCATGACGACAAAATATGCAGAAAATGCTGCCATCATTTGTATTATTCCAATTTGTCCATATGCCATCCATATCAATCTTCTATTTACTAATTTATCCTAAATGATAATAATAATAATTTAAATGTGGAATTTTTACTCGATAAATCATAACAAACGAACCTGAAATGGATTTCTAGGTTTTCTTTTCATTATGTCGGATTCTGCTCTTTCGTAAGCCAATGCGATTGCCGGAACCATGTCGGTACCAACATCGACAATTATAATTGCAATTATACTCAGTGGCATGGGTATTTGAAATATAAGATAAGCAATAAATGGAGCCATTTCCGGTATGTTTGACGTGAGAACGTAACAAATGGATTTCTGTAAAAGATTTTTGTTTTTTAATAATCAAAACGAGTTTTGAAAAAGTTTTATGTAAAAATAATAAATAAAAACTTTTAAATTATCGAATATTATTCTTCCTTGTTCTATTCCGACAATAATTGATGCAAAATTATCATCTAGTAAAACCATATCCGCTGCTTGTTTCGATACATCCGATCCGGCAATACCCATGGCAATACCGATATCAGCTTTTTTAAGAGCTGGAGAATCGTTGACTCCATCCCCTGGAAACCCAAAAACAAACAACGTAACAAATAACGATTTAAAGATGGAAAAAAACCGGAAACGGAAATTAAATAATAACCTGTCACGGCCGTTATGTAACCGAGTCTTTGACAACTTTCGACGATGGAAAGTTTTTGTGTCGGTGTAGTTCTTGCAAAAACAATTTCTTCGTGATTTTTAATTATTTCATCCAATTCTTGACTTCCCATGTTTCTGAGTTGATCACCCGTTATAACGATTGCTTTTACCTAAAAATATTAAATGAAATTAAAAAACGTTTTATTAATTTCAAATCGTGTAAAAAAAAAAAAAAAAAAAATCTTTTTACGTTTGATGCTGGCACGTCTTTTTCATCGACATTTAATTCTTTTGCTAATTCGTTTCTTGTACTTTTACTTATAATACCGACGTTTCTTGCGATGGCTTCTGCCGTTACCGGATGATCACCCGTTACCATAATAACACGTATACCAGCCGTTCTGCATTTTGCCACAGCATCAGGTACGGCTTCTCTTGGCGGATCGATAAGTGCCATCAATCCTAAAAATCTTAATCCGGTTGTTGGAAAATTTTTTTTAGCCGGATCGTACTGCACTCCTGCATCATCGCTTAATGCATAATCGCAAAAGCCTTAAATGAAAAAAAAAACGACGTACGGATTTCCATTCGAGGTAGGTCGATGGCACTTCCAAAAAGGTAACGTACCTAAAACTCTTTCACCTTTTTTACCCATTTCGGTTAAGATAGCATTTATTTGTTCTTTTGCGTCATCTGTTAAATTTCTACCTCTTCCTCCGCTACTTACTGTCGAACACAATTGTAAAATTTTTTCCGGTGCACCTTTCATAAACAACATGTTACCATTTGCTGTTTTGTGTATGGACAACTACCATAAAATTTTTAAAAAATCGTAAATATTTTATCAAAATCAATATCATTTCAAACTGTTTGAAATAATTTACTTGATATTTATTAGTGGAATTAAATGGAACTTCCATTAATTTCGGATTTGCTACTCTGAATTGTTTTACGTTTGGTGAAATACATTCAACGCATTTCAATATGGCCGCCTCGGAAGCATCTCCTTCTACGTTTCTATTTAAAACGGGTTCCGTCGAATCACCCTCGAATTCCGCTCTCAAACATAATTTACCACACGTCATTAAATTAATAAAATCTGGATCGTTGACGTCGAATTCGTTAGAAACCGTAGAATTTCTATCTTCGCCATATTTAATTGGATACGTGGTAAAATTATACATTATTTCAAGTACCTGGAATGAAAAATCAAAATCGATAATACGTACAATCGTTTAATTTATAATTAAAAAAAGGAGGGAGGAGGGGAAAGGGATACGGTACTGTCATTCGATTTTGTGTTAACGTTCCTGTTTTATCCGAACAAATTGTTGATGTTGATCCTAAAGTTTCGACAGAATCTAAACTTTTTATTAAACAATTTTTTTTCGCCATTTTTTTAGCCGTTAGCGTTAAACAAAGTGTCAAAGTTACCAAAAGACCTAAAATGTTTTTATAAATGATAAAAAATTTATTGTGTGTGTCAGCAATTTATAAACTCCTGACGTGAAAAATAAAAATATATCAAATAACAAAAAGATTATTATTATTGTACCCTCTGGAATGTTGGCTACCAAAATGGCGACAAAATAAATAAAACATGTTATCAAATCATATTTCATGGCTATGGCAAGAATAATGAAAAAAGTTGACAAAGCAACAGCAACGCATGTTATCAATATAACAAAACGACGAATTTCTATCGTTAATGGACTGCTAGCTCTTTCCAAACCTGGAAAAAAAAATTTTTTTTTAAATAAAGCTTCCATGATGATTTCATTTGATTAAGAAAAAGGTTGAAATTATTATGATAGGGAGAGAGAGGAATTTTACCTACTGTCAATGTTGCCAATCTTCCTATGACCGTTCTATCTCCAGTTTCAAAAACGATTGCTTTACACGTTCCTTCCATAACATTACTGGAATAAAAGGCAACGTTTTGTGTTTCCATAACGTTAGTACTTGTATTTTCTACTCCTCTTGGTTGAGGTTCAGTTTCTCCAGTTAATGATGAATTATCAACCTGTTTATTAGAAAATTTACCAAAATAATTTCAATTGTTCTTTCATGAACATTCACGAGACCTATTATAAATACCTTCATTCCAAAACATTCGATTATTCTTACATCGGCTGGAACTTTACTACCAAATTTAATTAAAACTACATCTCCTTTAACTAAATTAACACTTGGTATATTTGATACTTTTCCATCTCTTATAACGGTTGCTGAATGAGTTATCATTTTTTTAAATGAATCCATTATTTTTGATGAAGTACGATCTTGAGCATAACCAAACAATCCAGTTACAATAACTACAATTATTATCATAACACCTGCACCCAACAAACAAACAAACAAACAAACAAAACTCAATCATTTATTTTTTTCAAACAATATGATCATCATGGATGTTAAATTTAAGAAAATGTTTGTACAAACCCAAATATAAATTACTTTTTTCTGGATCATCTTGAGTTTGTGCTGATACTGTATATGCAACCAAACACAAAATACCAGATACCCATAAAATACTTGAAAAACCCAAAAACATGTGATTGCAAAATATCATTATTTGTGGTGTTGTTTTCGGCGGAGCCAATTCATTGAAACCATCTCTTTGTAAATATTCATTGGCTTGTGCTTGAGTTAAACCTTAAAAGGTTATGTTATCATCAATTATAACAATATAATAGAATATAAATAAGTTGACTTGCAATAAAATTTTTAGGATCTCTTATAATAAATACCTGTATCAGGATTAGTTTGATATCTTTCATAAAATTCTTGCAATGATATTGTATGAACATCAGTAGCAATTTCTTGCTTGAATGCATCAAGCTCACTTTTATTTTTCTTCCTCCTCCTAAAAAAAAAAAAATAATGATGATGATGATAATATTATGAGTTAAAATTTTTGTAAATAACGTTAAATTTATTTAAAAAATATTTATTTACGTTAAAACTTACATGCAAAATACTCTCAGTGGTTTCGGTACAAGTTTTATAAGGTAAGACAATACGATATTATCTTCAAAATTTCGTGGCGTTTTAGATTTTTCATCATCAGTTTTTTCAGCCGTTGATTGAGATGGTTCGTTCATATTTATTTACTTAAAAACGTTACAAAACAACCGTTACGAGAATTTATTAAAAACGTTTCGCGACAAATTTCCCTGCACCCCTGTTTAAAAAAACAAATTAATTCATAACAGTTATAAACGTTTTGTCAATTTTATTTAGAAAAGTATTTTGTAAAGTGAATCGAAATTTTTTTATTACTTTTAATAATTAACGAACGTCTTAATTAATTAATTAAAAAAACAAATTCCCTTTCCTGTATACATATAAAACTTTGAAAAAAACTGTCATGGCGGCGAAATTCATAAACAAACCGTTAAATTTATATAAAAATGATGGATCGATCCCTCGAGGATACAACAATGGGTACTTTTTTAAATTAAAAAAAAAAAAGGTACGTTAATAATTATAAACCGATTTATATTTATATATATATATATATATATATATTTAAAAAAAAAATTATTATATCGTTATCACAAAAATTAAAAGATAAAAAAATTGTCATTAAACGTTTATTAAAGTAGTAATAATAATAATAATACACGACAAAATATTTAAAAAAAAAATAATTTTTTGTACCCCAATTATATTATCATCATTCTCGACAAATTTAATTCAAGTCATAGAATATTAAAAAAAAAATTATACAATTGAAAATAAATCAAAAAAAAAAAAACATCAAAAAATATATATATATGTGTGTTAAATCCCTAATAATAATAATAATAATAATAATAAAATTTGTTCATATACTGAAAGTCGTACTGAATTCGTATGTATCCCCTTTTTTTTTTTTTTTTGGAAAAACAAAAGAAAAGTGTCATCATTTTCTCTCTCTCTCTCTTGAGTAATACTGATAAAAATTTTTTTTTTTTTTTCTTTCAAACGAATTCTTTTATGTATGCCGCATATAAGCCCAATACGGATGATGCTGTTGGTTCTTCGGGTATTTTACCAGCAGAACCAGCAACGTCTATGTGCGAATAACTCAAAGGTGCCGAAGAATTCAAACCGTGCTAAAATAAAAATGGCAAAATTATCAGTCGAGTGAATTGTAAAGGGATGTGTGTGAAAAAAAGGGCAAAAGTTATTTTACCTTATCTAAACCCGAAGCCATGATAAGAAAAGCTCCTGGTCCTTGATGACCTCTCATGGCTTTCGAAGCAGAATCGTTAGAACATTGATTTACGTCATCACCTTCCCAACAACCTTTGTGATTTTTAAAATCTTCCCGTCTCAATACGCTTATCTCGAATGGATCTCCCAAACAAGTTCCAGCTTCTTGTATTTTTTGACTTTCTTTATTCACTTTGGCAACCGAATTGTCCATTACGATCGAATATGGGCCGACAGAACGTTCCGCGTGTCCCGTCAATGTGGCTATAGTCACCAAATGAACGTTATCATACTTTAAAACATCTTCTTTTACCTGAAAATTTAAAAAATTTCATAACCTTTTTCTAAAAAATTAATTTTCATCATTATTTATATATATATTACCTTGCATAAAACGTCAGCCATGACCATTCTACCCTCAGCATCGGTATTATTAACTCTGACTCTTGCTTTCGAACGTGCCGTTATGACTTCGTCAGAAACGTATGCATTTTCACCTGCGCTGTTTCTTGCCATGCACAAAGCACCGATGACGCGAATATTTTTCGGTTTCAATTGTGAAACGATCTGAAATTAAATTTTGTAAATAAAACTTTCGAACGAACACAAAATGGACGTGTTTTCATAAAATGAATGCAACATCATTACATGCATGAATCCTGCAACGGAAGCAGCTCCGCATTTATCCCGACACATTCCCGCCATTAAACCGTTAATTTTTATATCGGCACCACCCGTGTCGTAAGTGATACCTTTACCCACGACGCCCAGAGTTCGGGTAATGTTTCCCTCGGGTTCGTATTTCAAATAAATAATTCGTCCTAAATGCCTCGAGATCACTGCAAACAACAATGAAACGTAATAACTCCAAATAATAATAATAATAATAATAAAACAATTAATTAAACCAACCGCTGGCTGCTCTATTAACCGCAGCAAATAATGGATATTCTTTTGCTAGCACGTCCAAATCGCTCACGACCGTCATCTCGATATTAGAATTTTTAAATACGTTTCGAACGTATTCTTCAACACGAATGGCGGACATTCTTTCTGGATCTGGACCACCGATATCACGACAAACGAGTCTTCCAGCTTCCAGGATTTGACCCAAAGCGACAAGTTCAGAGAGAGAGTTTTCATTTTGACTCCAAATACTTAAACTTTTGACTTTTTGCTTTTTTTCAGGTACATCTTCTCTTAATTGAAGAGGCTTTAATTAAAAAATAAAAGATTAAATAATAATAATAATGATGATGTTGAAACAAGGACTTCAATCGAGAATTATTCAATATACTTATCAGTAGGCACCTAAATTGTTATCATTTAATTTTTGTAAATATGAAATTTCATATCTTTTAAAACCACTTCAGTAAATAGGTTTACTTATCGTGTCACATGTAAATTTAGAATCTCTCTCTCTCTCTCTTTCACTCTCACTCTCTCTCTCTCTCTCTCTCACTCACTCTCTCGATACAAATAGATGATATGTATACTACTTACAACATATAATGCTTCCAATGCTCCCAACAGTGTAGTCAGTTGACTCTCTGGGAATCTTTCACTTTTGGGTAAAACTAAAAGAGGATTTTTAATACCTGCTTTTAGTGCTCTTTTAACACCCCTCGAAGCTGCTTCAGCATAACTTCTAACATCATCATAATCTGTTAAATTTAATACTGGAGAATAAACAAGACGACCTGTAAATACAATTTAATAATTAATTACAGCCTGAGCTTCTTCAGTTTGATTCTCATTCAAAAACAACTAATTTATTTAAATTAAAAAATATCTTATCGAAGAGGTTTTGCATTCTTTAAAAACACATCAATTCAATATTTTTTGATATAAATTGATCACCTTCTAAAAAAAATAATCAAAATGAAGGGTTAATAGTGTGATGAGGATAATAAAAAACTACTTTAAAAGTTTAATATGTGAAATAAAGTCACACAGACACAGGCACGCAAATCAAGTTAATAATAACGGTTAAATTTAGTTTGAGTCATCATTAATGAATTCATCCATTTTGATTATTGTAAATGATTTTGCAAATTTTAAAAAAAATCTTACCAGCGGGAAGATTCACAGGTAAAACACTAACTGAAGAATTAAATGAATCGTCGATTTCTTCATACGGTTTTAAATATGATCTAACCGAACTTGAATTTTCGGTTATTTGTGAATCCGATGACACGTAAATAATGCCATCCACATCAGAAGATGATAAACCGTGTTCGGCGATTTTTAACGGAAAACCTAACCTAAAAACGTATTAATAATAATAATAATAATAATAATAATAACAACCATTTATTAAAATTTATATTTATTCAATTAAAATAAAAATAGTAATTGTCGATTTTAACGGTAGACATTATGCACAAAAAAAAAAAAAAAAAAAATTTCTTTTTTTTCACCTGAAAGAAATTAACGGAAATTTTGCAAATAATAATAATAATGATTCGTGACGTATACAAATGAAAAGAAATACTTACATTTTATTAAAATACTGAGACTACGATGATTAATTAAACTAAATATATAATAATAATAAAATTAATTTAAAATAAGTAAGTTGAGCGTGTGAATTGAAAGCCACGTAACTCTCAATACTCGCGTCTCTACTTCGACACACAGTGGTTTTTAAACAATTTTATTTGTGAAAAAAAAAATTCCCTGCAACGCAACGTTGAAGAAACCAAAAAAAAAAAAAAACCTTTAAAAAAAATTCCCTGCACAATAACAACGGTTTCCTTTCTTTTACTAATATATATATAACAACATTATTATTCCGTTAGGAAAATACTTGAAAAAAATTTTTTTTTTATAATTAACCACGTGAAATCAAAGTACAAAAACAAAAAAAAAAAAAAAAACTAATCGAACTCGAAAAGCCTAAACCACGATAATAAAAAAAAAAATGATAAAATTCATAAACGCGTAACTTTTATTTACATAACGAACATAACCGTATAAATAACCGTTAAAATCGCGAAACGTTAATTCAAATCGTTACTTAATTCACGTGACCCTCATTCGAAACTCGAGTTTTTTTTTTTTCCCATAAAATTTCAAATTAAATTACGTAATAATTAATAAATTTAAATAAAGATAATGATAATAATAAAAATCACACTTTATCACCGAATAACAAAACAACAAAAAACAAAATAAAAATCAAACGAATTGATTAATAACAACAATATTGATGATATAAATATCGATATATCGCGATAATATCGATAAATCATTTCGATTATTATTATATGACGTCATTAAAAACAAACAAACAAATTCGTATAAGATAATTTATTATTAATAACCTCGCAAACTAATTCGAATTAATTAAAATAATGATAATGATAATAATTAATTTTTATTAAAAAAAAAAAAATTTAATAAAAATAATAATAATTTCGACACGAAATTTATTTTATTAAGTGATAATCATAATAATAATGATAAAAAAAAAAAATTTTTTAAATAATTTATTTACTTATATAAATCCTTCTTTTATTTATTTATTTATTTATTTAAAAATTTAAAATAAAGCAAATTTTTTTATTATTTATTATTATTATTATTGCAACGAAATTTTTATCGATTTTTTTTTTTATTAAAATAATTAAATTAAATTAAATAATTAAAATAATTAAAATTAAAAAAATAAAAATTATTTTCTTATTTATATTTAATTAATTAAAACCCTTTCGGATCACCGTCGTATTATTAAAAATCAATCAATCAATCAATCGAATAAATAAATAAATAAATACACAAATAGATAGATAGATAGATAGATAAATAGATAGAATACATAGATGATGATAATAATAATAATAATAATGAGGATGATGATTAAAAAAAGGAAGAAAAATTATAATTTCGATTCGAGTATGCGTGTGTGCGTGTTTACGTCATCATTTTTTTTTTCAATCCGGGAATAATAATGATAATAATGATAAAACACGCACAAGCACACGCACAACACACACATTACATAAAATCTTACATCTAAAAAAATATTTAAAAAAAAAACAAAAAAAAAATTTATTTATTTATTATTATTATTATTATTATTTAACGTTCGATCGTGTGAAAACGGATTCATTTTTTTTTCAAATAATAATAATACTAATGATAATAATAATTAAATAAAACGATTTATGCACACACATACATACATACGTAAAAATAAATAAATAAATAAATAATTTTTTGTTTTGATTGACATTTTTTAAAGTCGATAAAAACGATCACAGTTTCAAATAATGATTGAGTCGTTCGTTATGAAATAAGCAGAAGACAAATTAAAAAAATTAATATTAATAATAATAATCATCATCATCATCATTCAAACGATTGAAAACGTATTAGTGAGAGAGAGAGAGAGAGAGAGAGGGAGAGAGAGGGAGAGAAAGGGAGAGAAAGAAAATTAAGCAATTTTCTAACAAAAAATTTCACGTCGAACGTTTCACAATAATAATAATAATTAATAATTAATTAATAATAATAATAATAATAATAATGATAATAATAGTAATTAGTTAGATTTATTTATTAATTAATTAAAAAAAAAATAAAGAAGCACGCATGGAATTTTATGCAAAAGCCATTTTTTTTTTTAAATTTTTAAATTTTTATTTTTTTTATTTTTTTTTCGATATATCGTAAATATAAAAAATAATTACCGACGCGATTACTTATTTACTTACATTTATTAAAAAATAAATAAATAAAAAACCGAATCCGTGTATATATTAATAATAATAATAATTATTATTATTATTATCATCATCATCATCGAACACGCGCGTTCGGTTTAACTAGTATTCCAGGTAATATTCATATATATATATATATAATTTTTACGTGATAAAGATATAATAATAATAATAATAATAATAATTTTTTTATACAAGCGTTCGAATATATATATATATATTTATATATATAGAAAATAGGACAATAAAAAAATGATTTCCGAATCGGAGGAGACAAACGAACAAACAAACAAACAAACAAACTAACAAACACCACCCACGACCTTACACAACAATCACGCCTTGAAAAATTTCTTTTCTTTTTTTTTTTTTTTTTTTTTGCTAATCAAAATTGTTGAAAGGCTGGTACACGTGCACACACGCACACGCACTCGCGTGCGTGCGTGCGTGTGTACGCACACATTATCATTATCATTATCATTATCATTATTATCATCATCATCGTTTCCTATTTTTCCAATCGATTAAAATCGATCAATTCGTCAAATTTTAAAATGAAAAATAATGCAAATGCCCCCTCCCCCTCCCCCTCCCCCCAAAAAAATGATCGTAATGGTGGTATGACGACTCTGTTATGTGTTGACGACAGCAGCAGCAGGAGCGGCGGCAGCAACAGGAGCAACAGCATTCACAAGGCAAACGTTTGTTTTTCTTTTTGTCTTCGATTCCCTCCTCTTTTTTTTTTTTCTCTTATTAATAATAATAATAATAATAATTTTTTTAAAATAATTTCAAGCGTCGTTTCATGTCGTTCCTTCGCCACTGCGGCATTCTATAAAATTCAGCTCGACTGCATTGAAATTTCTGCTCGAATTCGGCATCCGAAAGATGTCTCTGGAAAAAAGAAAAAAAAAGGGGGGGGAGGGGTCATTATTTACTCCACGAACGTGCGAAAGAACGGATGAACTTTTGACCTCTTTCTCACCTCTAAATTACATCTATCCACGTCCGCGGGCAACCTGTAATTGGTTATAACTAATAAATGGTAGGGATATATCTTGGGTGGTTCGTTGCTCATGTGCGACAACGTCGGAAGCGATCGTCTCAAATGAGGACTGTACGACGCGTATCTCAAACCCCCTTGAAAAGTCGTCGACATCGGCATGTCCGGATTCTGGAAAAATTTTAAATAAATAATGATAATGATAATAATATACAAACGACTACTACTACCATTATTACTACAACTACTCACCAAAGCTCTTCGATCGACTTCCGATATCGAACCACCGGAAACTGAAACGATATTTATTATTATTATTATTATTATTATATTCCATTTTTTCCTTTGTTTGTTGTTTTAAAAACAAACAAACGACGACAACCGATGTATCAATACATATATATACTCACTATCCGATTTTCCACTGCTGAATTCCGTGCTGTGTGTTTTCTCACCGAATCCGCTGTATGAAAAATCACCCTGTGAAATATCCCCGCCGGGAGAGGGGAAATGAAAAAAAAATTTTATCAAATCACGTGTACGACAGCAATAATAATAATAATATTAATAGTAATAATAATAATAATAAATAAATTAAAAAATTAAAAATAATTCACCTAAATTTTATTCTATTTAGGTACCACCATATAACTACTCACCCCTATGTTTGACACGGAACCTCCAGTCGAACTGAAGGTGTGCGATCTCGGAGCCAACCCATAACCCGGTTTGGGAACGTGTCGCAATGCGCTAACAACTAGAACACCATTAAAAACCAGTTTCCCTCATTTCGTGCAATTAAATATTTTAAACAAATTTCATATATATATATATATATCCCGATTGGGAATCGGGTATCGAAACGACAAATTTGCACCAGCAGCAGCAGCAGCGGCTGTGATAATTTGACGTTTCGACAATTCAAAGAAGAGGGAGGGCGAGTGGTTGGGGGAATTAAAAAAAAAAAAACGTTAAATTCTTGACGCGGGGGGAAGAGGGAGGGAGGGAGGAAAACGCATTTCGCGAGTGGTGTATACCCTCGTACTTACCTGGATATGTGTTAGAAAACGAAAATTCCATTCCAAAAAAAAAGGCATCGGCAAAAAACGAGCAAACAAACAAACATGCAAACACTTACCCAAGGTAACCGAGTAAGAGACGACCGACACAGAAGACTACAGAAAGAAAAGAGAGAGAGAGAGAGAGAGAGAGAGAAAAAAAAAGATCAAACTTGGGAAATAAACTCACGTTGAACCCGACTCCGTAATCGCTGCAGTAACCGCTCGTGTATCTTCCTGTGGGAAGCGTCGAAGCTTTTCCAGGAGATCGAACGTATCCCATTCTCGACGACGGTGTCGCTACACACAAAAACATATAAAATCATGCAACTACACAAAAAAAAAAAAAAAAAAAATCATCGTGTACCGGAAAAAAAAAAAAAAAAAAAAATATAACCGTGATTTACAACATCAGTGTGTGCGTGTGTGTGTGTGTGTGAGAGAGAGAGAGAGAGAGAGAAACAAATCACGTTTGCTCTTTTTCACGTTTTTCTTTCTTTTTTTCTTATTGTAAATCATTATTATTATTATTATTAGTAGTAGTAAACGCCATTCAAAAATGCAATTTTTAAAATAAAACAAAATGCCGCATAAATTCCGAACCGGAAACGGAAATCCGGTTTTTTTTAAAAAAAAAAAATTAAAAAAATTTAAGCGATGCTAAAAAAAACAATGACAGCAGTAAAAAATAAAAAAAATTCTAACATGTCACTACGCAAAAAAAAAAAAATTATCGTCACAAACAAATTATTATTATCATTATTATTATTATTATTATTATTTTACGTGGCAGAATCAAAAGAAATTAATTATTATTAATATGATTGCGACAGCATGAAATGAGCATTCGATTGACTCTGCCAAAAAAAAAAAAAACTTTTTCCCTACCTTATATTATAGCGAATTAAATATCACACGTTCGTCGAAAGTTCTAGAAACTCGGGGAGGGGGAAGACGGGGGAGGGGGGGTATAACAGCAGTACGAATAAATCGAACAAGGTAAACATTTTCATTTTTTTTTTTTTTCTTTAATCAAGTGTGTGTGTGTGCACGTGTGTGCGTGTGCGTGAGTGCGAATATAAGATTTTCCCGTTGCAACAATGTGTGTGTGTACGTTATACACGTGCGCGTACACGTGGGTTTTTAAAAAGTGCCCGTTTTTCTTTTCTTTTTTTAAATTACGGAATTCGTTATGCGTTTCGTCGTTATCGTTATCGAAACGGGGGGGGGGCGAGGGGGAGGGGAGGGGAAAATATCGTTTCGATAACGATAATAATAATAATAATAAATTTCAATTACTGCTTAAATGATGATAATTTTCCAACTTACCGTTGTAACTAGGGATGGCTCCGACGGAACGTCCAACCGAAGAACGATAACTCGAACTTCGATCCATGTAATCATCCTCTTCCCAAGGACGAGGATGGTCCATGTTTCTCGAAGGTGCTGCAAAAAAAGACAAATCGATAAGAGACATCGTTTCGGGAAACGGGGGACCCCCACCACCACCCCCACCTCTAAGGGGGGGGCCTAATATTTAATGCCTTATCTCTTACATGCATTCACTGGACTTTGATATCTTAGCCTGTAGGCAGGTTCTTTGTTTGCCGATGGAACTCTCGAAGCGTTTCTCGGATCTAAATGCTGTAGCTTGTATTGACGGAGTTTTTCTCTTTCTTTCACGTTTTGTAAAAATACTTTTCCGATACCTGTTGCTATTTTACTCAATTCTTCTTCTTCTTTCTGTTTATGAACAAAAAAAAAAAACCGTTACTACCTTCTGCTAAATTTTTTTTTTTTTAACGAATTCCAAGTCGTTTACGTCACGAATTCCTACTTTCAACTTATCGTCTTCCGACTCCTTATCTTTGGCATCAGTTTCATCTTCTTCCTCATCTGAAGCACCCTTATGTGAGTCTGACCATCTCTTACGACGCTCTGTAAAATTTTTTTTTTTAGTCACAACACCATTCGAAGAAAAATAAAAGTTTTCCAAGAGGAAAAAGAAAAGAGAAAAACTTGCCGGGATCCGTGTACGGATACGGCGGAGCGGGAAAATCATCCCGTTCGATTTTCGATTTTTCTCCAGGTTTAGGCTTTTTGGCATCGGGAAAATGAGCCAGTTCGATCGGTTCTTCGTTATTCATGTGAGGAGATTTAGGTCTGGGAGTTTCGCTACGAATGCTTTCGGCCATGACTCTCATGCCCGACCTCGATCCCGTTTTGACGAGAATTTTCCCACTGCGTTGCGAATGAGATGCTGAAAAATATCGGGGTCATCAATCATTTCTCCCGATTTCTCAAAAGAAAAGAGCGGGGGGTGAGGGGGGGGAAAACTCACAAGAAGGCCGATGAAAATGCGGACTGGTCGGAGGTTTATCGTACGGATCGATCGGTCGTTTCAAATATCCCTGACTCGGTTCTTCCGTCAAGTAACTGTAGGTATATATTCTACTGATATCCTCTGGAAACTGTTGGCTTGATTTGTACTCGCGAAGAATGATTCCAGGTGAGCCCGCGCGATTGTAAGCATACTGAAAAATCAAACATTTCCAAAATTCAAATTTTTTGTCACTGATAACCCTAACTCTATCCGAGCGAAATCATTTGGAAAAACCAATCGAAATTCTTTCCAACACAAAAAAAAAAAAAAATCAAACAAGCAAATACGTAATAATAATAATAATAATAATAATAATAATAATAATAATAATTACGTTCAACAGTAACGACTTACCTTCCTACTCAAACTATTGCAAGGGCTACCCAATGAGCCGTTCAAACTAGACGTTCGAGAACGCAAGGAAAACTAAAAAAAATAACAAATAAGCACAACCAAAAAAAACAAAAAAACAAAAAAATTAAAAAAAAAAATTAAAATTAAATTAAAATTAAATTGAAATTAAAAAAACTTAATCGAAAATGTAGCTCATGCAAAAAAATTTTTTTTTTTTTTTTTTTTTTTTTTTTTCAAAATGAATGCCGTGATTAATTAAATCAATAAAAATAAATAAATAAATAAAAACATGCTCACGTGACGTCAACTAATAATAATAATTGGGAATTAAATACATTAAATTTGGGGGGTGGGGGTGGGGGGAAACAAAAAAGTTTTTGTCTGACGTGCCTGCATTTCGCTTACGGCCGAACTGCTCATCCTGTCGTAATCTCGACCGTCGCGAGCGCTCATTTCACCATCCGTGTCAGTGCAGTGACCATTTTCCAACATGGTCGAACCATTTATTATTGTTCCGTTTTCGGTCGGACCCGGACCGCAACGTGGATGCCATATTGCTCCGCCTGCGAGAGAGTGAGAGAGAGAGAGAGAAACGTTAACACGCTTGGACCGGAAGTTCACCGAACGTTATTATATTTCTCAAATGTGCACCTCACCTTGAAGATACATTTCTTCACCGTCTCCGAACGGATCCCCGCATTTGCTACATCTCGCACACGTCGGATGAAAATGATGGTTGTCTCCGGCTTGTAAAACTTTTCCGCTTATGAAACGTAAACAGTAAGCGCATTTCACTCCGAATTGCTTTTGGTAGTCTTTTTCACAATATGGCACTCCTTCTCTGTTTTAGTGGGAGAAAAAAAAAAAAAAAAAAATTTTTTTTTAAATTATACACATTCGATTACTTCCACTCATGAAAAAAAGATAATGATAATGATAATGATTAAAACTAACTTTCCCATATATTCTCCGTGGAGAACGGCGTCACAATCTTTACATTTAAAGCACCATATATGCCACTGACGTTCCAGAGCGATGAGAGCTTGTCCATCTTTTAATTCTTCTCCACATCCGGCGCATTCTTAAATTCGAAACAAAAAAAAAACCTTTTAGGGTTT